CAGAGATCATCCATGCCAACCCCCTCTTTTCACAGATGAGGGAGCTAAGGCCCCCAAAGGGGAACTTCACACAGCTAGGAAATGGCGATCAGCTCCACGCTTTCTGCATCCTTTGCTCCCTCGAAGGGGCCCCCTAGAGTAGGGGGACAATTACTGTTAACAGCTCAGTCCGTCTACAAAGGATCTTCAGGGCTCTTATCAAGCATGAGTGGTAGATCTGGTTGGTATTATTAGCCCTACTTTACAGATGAGGAAACTGAGGCACAGAGAGCTGAAGGGACTCTTGAAGCCTTAGGACTCCTAGTCCTGGGGTCCTTCCACTTGGCCACCTGCCTCTGGCATTGTCTTATTATCACTTCCCTCCACAAATCGGTTCATTTCTACCTTTCAGCCTGCTAGTCTACAAGTCTTTCAAGGGCTTTGGAAAAAAAAAAAGATCTTAACTAAAAGGGCAGAATTTGGGGTGCCTGTTTCTAACTGCCAGAATACAAGGTCTTTCCAAGTGGCCCCTGTACGAATCCTAAGGCCTTCCCATCAGGAAGGGATTGGGGGGGGAGAGTGGAAGGAGAAGAGGGGAGGGGGGAAATTAAAGGAAAGGGAGTAAGGGAGAGGGAGGGGAAAAGAAGAATGAAAGGCATGATGAGGAGGGTGGAGGGGAAGAAGGGGACAGGAAATCAGAGAGAAAAGGGAGGGAAAGGAGGGGAGGGGGAGAAGGAGGGAGGAGAGGGGGATGAGGAAGAAGGGAAGAAGAAAGGACAGGAAGAGAGGGAAAGGAAAGGGAGGCAGGGGAGAAGGAGGGGGAAGAGGGGGGAGTAGGACAGGGAAAGAAAAGGAGAGGTGGAAAAAGGAGGGAGGGGGGAAAGGGAGAACAGAGAAGGATGGAATTTTTGACTACCTTCCTCAAGATTCTTTGGCTCTGAAATATAAGAATGCAAAAGAAGTCTTTTTTTTTTTCAGGAGGGTGGCTTTTGTTTTTTAAATAGCTGCAAAAATCACCCATCAAGTACAGACCCCAACAGATCAAGGGTAGCCATTCTGGTCTTAGGAGCCCTCCAGGCAGAAGAGACCAGACAGTTCCAGGGCCCTAGGTCCAAGCTATACGGGTCTCCAGAGCAGCTTCTCCCAAAGAGCCAGCTTAACTGCCACCTTCTAAAGAGCCTTTCTGGATTCTCCCACTTATTAATGTTCCCCTACCCCCTTTGCCTAAATTAATTAATTAATTAATATAACATTTTGGATTTACTTATTCAACTACCACATTACTTCTCCTAGTAGAATGTGAACTCCTTGAAGGCAGGAAGTAGTATGTCAATTTTTTATGTCTCCAAAGCCAGCCATAGCATCTGGCATACAGAAGGTGCTTAACAAATGCTTGGAGCCTTAAACTGAAAGAACGTGATTTCCCCATCCCTATCATTATCAGCACACCAGCTTCTCCCTCCTATGCTCAGTAATATTCTAGAAATGGCCAGAAGCTCCTCTATAGGAGGGAGGGGGAGGAAAGGTAGCCCCCTCCTCCTTTTACGATGTTATTAGCTAGAGGGTAAGAAGTGGTCTAGGGCATGCCTTTGGATTCCCAGCACTAGAAGCAACCAGAGTAACGAGTTAACAGGAAGCACCTTGTTCTGCAGTGAGTGACATCTGCAGACAGCTCACACTCCCATCATTCACCATTCTGTCCTGGGAACCTCCCCCCCCCCATCTCTGAACCCTGCTCACAGAGAGAAAATGGACTTTTTCTTTGGGGGGAAGAGGGAGGGAAAGGAGAGAGGAAGACATCAGCAGGGAGCATGCTAGCCATGCTGATATGATTTAAGGATGTTACTAAGCCAGCAGAAAGCAGCCCCACCTCAGCCTTCGCCACTGTGGCCAGCCCCCAATGGAAGTGACAGAATGATCGATTTCACCAAGCCAGTAAGACTCAGAGGTACCCTCAGAACCAATGGGCATTCATTTGCTGAGATGCCCGATGGCCAACCAAATCAAGCCTCAAGTGATGCCCCTCTGAAGCCACAAAGTCTCCAGATTCCAGTTTCACTCAAGCCCTAACCCCACCTTCTATGCAGCCCTTACCCCTAAGCTGAGCTGGCCTAGCTGGGAAACACAAGAGTGTTTCAGCAAAGAGATCTTAGAAGCCAGCCCGTCCTATCTCATCATTTTATGGATGCAGATGAAGTGACTTAGATATCTAAGTTCCCACAGGAAATGAGCATCAAAAGTGGGGTTTGAAATCCGCAGCTAATGCTCTCTCCACTGAGCCACACTGCTTCCTCACCCCCTCTGTGAAACAAAAGGGGGAAGTAGAGGTAGCCGGACATAGCAGAAAAGCTTAGTCTCAGAAGACCTAGGTTGAATCCTGGCTTTGCCAGGGCAAGTCATTTCCCACTGCTAAGTCTCCGTTTCCTCTTCAAATCACTAACTCAGGGAAACCAAGCTTTCCCTATTTCTCAGGACCATGTGAGGATAAAAGAGGTAGCTCGTAACCCCTTTTTCCATCTGCTGTAGAAAGGGGCAACAATTACCTAGAACCTACCAATTTCCTATTGCTGTGGCAATCTAAAGTAGATTTTTTTTTAAATGCTCCCGATCGAGATTAGCAAAGGTCATTGAGATAGATAACCTCAGACTCATCTCTCCATCCCTCGGAGTTCCCCTAACTATTCAGGAAAAACCCCACCTTAAAAGCCTGCAGGCTCTTGGAATGCTCTCTAATAATAATCCTAGCAACCAAGACAGAGGACTGAGTGTATGAGTGTGAGAGAGAGAGAGAGAGAGAGAGAGAGAGAGAGAGAGAGAGAGAGAGAGAGTGTGTTGTGTGTGTGTGTGTGTGTGTGTGTGTGTGTGTGTGTGTGTGTGTGTGTGTGTGTGTATGTGTATAAGTTCTGTTCTCAAAGCTACTTTCTACTCTGGATGCAAGGAGAGGAAGAGGGCTTGGAAATGCCCTTGCTTGAAATCAGAATCAAAACAATAATGAACACATAATTCCTTAGAGTATCAAGCCTGAGGAAAACTAGGGTGTTTTCTGAAGACTGAGGTTCTGGGAAGGGAAGAAATGCTAAGGCTGAGTGAGGCCGGAAGCCAGCCACCAAAAGCCTATTCGAATTTCACACCCCTACCCACCCACATGCTCTCCATGCTCCAGGTCTCTGATCTGCAGCAATCATCCAGTGTTTGGTGTGCAGGGCGCAATACTGGATAGATACACCACCAAAGACCCCACTAACATGGGGTTGGGGTGGGGGAAACCAAATCCGACACAGGTATAAGCATAATAAAAAAGTGCCAGTAAAGAGAGGGGGGGAAGGAAGCAGCGATAGGTAGCACTGGAGTTGGGCTTTAAAAGATGGGTATGAGGTCAACAGGTGAATAGCAGGAGGAAGTATATTTGAAGCATGAGAAACAGTAAGAGAAAGAGCCCAAAGAAGAAAGGCAAGGGCTGGGGAGGGGAGGGAGAAAAGGGGAGGGGAAGACCCAGTAAACCATCTTGGCTGGGTTTTAGTAGCAAGCAGCCCCAGGCTCTGGGGCTGACCAAGGCCTGAAAGCAGTTATTGCAGCCTGTCTGGTGCTTGGGTTAGGACTGCACCCTGAGAAGTGCCCTGCCCCCCCCCCAAGCAGGGGAATCATCCAGGCAGGTGGGGAAGAAGAGAGGTGACCTGCATAATGCATGCAGGGCTTACTCACACATACCCTTCCCTCCCTACACACATGCCCAACGCATGCAGCCACAGTTCCCCCCCTCCCCTCCTTCTCTCCCAGGCCCCACTACTAAGAAGAGTCATCTCACAACTGCATGGCCAGGGTGAGATCAGATGCTAGGGCCTCTCCAAAAAAGGTGGGGCTCCTTAGAGAGGAACCAGCCCCCAAACCCCCTGAACTAACAGCCACCTACTCCCCAGAGGTTCTCCCCTACCCAATTAAGGTGGAGCTTTAAAAATTTTTTTTTTTTGTTTTGTGTTTTGAGGTGAGGGTGAGGAAAGAAAAGAGACAATCATTTCCTTTCCAAGGAAGGTAGCAGGGCAGGGCAGTACCCCAGCTGGGGTAATTGTGGAGTCAAAGAGCTCTGGACTTGGAAGTCAGGAGACCTGGTTCAGATTCTGTATGACCTCGGGCAAGTCATTTCTTTTTCTGTACCTCAGTTTCCTCATCTCTCAAATAGAGGAGAGCACCTTGTGAACCTTAGAAATCGCGAAAGAGGCAGTGTGGTACAGTAGACAGAGGGATGAACTTGGGATTTTGGACCCCCAAATCGAAGCCCAGCTCTTTCACTTACTGCCTCTGTGACCCCGGACAAGTGACTTAACCCCTCTGGACCTCATTTTCCTCCCTCCCACAAAACGAGAGGGTATTCTGAACCACGCTTTCAACTGTGATCCCGTCCTACTAAGATGCCCTCCTGATCTGCCACATGCCTCCAGTTCTGACACCCCCCCTTCCCCGCAGTGGGCAGGGGCCATCCCTCCCCCAAACTTTGTAAGCCCCCACCCCAGGAGCAGCAGCCCAGCCCAGTGCCCGACAGCGGGCGGGAGGGCAGGCGGGCACCAAGTGAATGCCTGTTGAATGCCGAATGACTCCGGCGACAGCGAGGAGCGGGTAAAGGAAGCTGGGACCGTGGGAAGCGCGCTCAGCCGCCCGCAGCCCTGACTCCAGCCCGGAGGATGCCGGCTGCGCAGGGCGGGGTATCCCCACCCCGCCCGACAGCCCAGCCCAGCCTAGACCACGGGCGGGAGTTGGGGGGGGGGGCGGCGGCCGGAACTCCGAGCCTGGCCCGCCCCTAGCCACACTCCTCGAGGGCCCCCCCCCCGCCCCGGCCCACATGCTCCGGCCCCAGGGGCGCCGGGGACAGGGAGAACCCACCCGGGGAGCTGCCGCCCAGGCGCCCCGCGACCCCAGCGACCCCCGCCGCGGGCTCCATGATGGTACGCCCCCAGCCCCTCCCCGGGGCAGCTGCCGCGGGCACGCGCCCCGGCGGCCACGCGCTCGCTGCTCGCCCCCGCACTCACCGTCTTGGGCATGGTGGCGGGCGAGTTGGCGAAGTTTCGCGGCAGGCGGTGAAGACAGGCGGCGGCCGCGGCTCGAGCTCGAGGGGTCCGGGGCTGGTTGCGTCCCTAGAGGCAGAGAGGCTGCTGCTCGGCTTCCTGCTAACGGATCTGACTCGGCAAACCCCACCCAGGAAAGAGCCGCCCCGGGCGCGCCGGCCGCTCCTTTATGTGGCTCTGGCTCCCCCGCCCCTCCCCGCCGCCCGCCCTCCGGCCCCGCCCCCAGCGCCCGGCCCCGCCCCCCGCGCCCTCCCTCCCGGCTCGGCCCGGCCCGGCCGGGCCCGACCCGCTAGGGAGGCAGCCCCCCGCGGGGCCCCGCGCCCCCGCTCGCACTCCGGCTTTTCCCCGACAAGGGCCCCGCCCTTCCTCCCCCTTTGGATGCGCGGATTGCCTGGGCAACCTGTGGCCCCCATTCCCTTCTCCCTTCCTTCTCGTAGTTGCCCCAGAGCCCTCGGGCCTTCCTCTAGCTCCTGGTCTTCTTCCTTCCTTCCTTCCTTCCTTCCTTCCTTCCTTCCTTCCTTCCTTCCTTCCTTCCTTCCTTCCTTCCTTCCTTCCTAACTTCATTCCTAACTTCCTTCCTTCCCCTGATCAGCAGCCCTCGATCTCTGCCACCTCCCAGAATCTGGCTGGTCTCCAGTCCTCCTGTGCTGGCCACTTACTTCTTCATACAAGATGCTCCATTTCCCATACCCGTACCTTTACACTGGCCATCCGCGGTGCAAGCAATTCAATTCACTCTTCCTCCCCCCCCCTTCCTCAAGGCTATGGGGGCTGGGGCACTAGAGCTGGACGTTAGGTCTGGCCCAAATCCCATCCCTGCCACTTATCACCAGGGAGACATTTAGCAAGGCAACCTTCCTCATCAGTTTCCTCGTCTGTAAAAAGAGGGAGTTAGCCTAGCTGGCCTCTGAGAGGGCAGAGAATAAGCATTCATTTACGTGCCAGGCACTGTGCTGAGCGCTTTACAAATATTATCTCATGAGACCCTCACAAGAACCCTGGAAAGGAGATGCGGTTCTGATCTCCATTTTACAGGGTCCCCTCCCAACTCTAGATTTAGGGTTGTATGATGTCTCCTAGAATCCCGAGTTTTCCTCAAAGTATAGCTGATCCCGACTTTCAGCTGCTAATCATTGCCCCACCCCATTGCTTGTCTATATTTTGTATAAACTAACATGTATACATGATGTTTCCCCTGATAAAATGTAAGCACCTGGGGGGGGGCAAACACTCTGACTCTTGTTATATGATAGGTGCTTAAGAAATGCCTGTTGATTGGCATTTCAAGTTCTCCACAATCTGGCTCTTTCCTCTCTTTCCAAGTCTTCTTACACTTTACTCCTCCTCCAAACGCTCTGTAATGCAACTACACTTGTGATTTCTCTTCCTCGACACTCCCCCCATCTCTGTGACTTACACTGACTGTCTGTCCCCCATGCCTGGAATATGTCCCTCCTCACCTCTCAGTTTCCTTCATGACTCAGCCTCAAAGCCTAGCTTCTTCCTCTGTTTTGGAGACCTTTCCAGGTCCCCCACAACCCTCCTGCACCCCACCACCAAGTGCCTTTCTCTGAGATTACCTTTCATTGATTGTGCATATATCTGGTAAGTATTGGGGTTTGTTTGAGCGTTTGTTTTTTGCCTTTCTTTGTACGCCCAGTGCTTAGAACAGTGCCTGGCACATAGTAAGTACTTACTAAATGCTTGTTGACCCACTGACTGAATGATTCTGAGCATATCATTCAACCTCTGGGAGACTCAGTTTCCTCACACACTTCGGGCCACAAAGTGTTATTGTTGGGAGGAAAGTGCTTTGTAAACCTTGAAGTGCCCTTGAAATGTGAGATTAGACAATCATCTACCTACCAGAAGAACGGCATACTGTATTAGGGGAAATGAGACAATCCCACTTCTGACACACCTCTTTGTGACCCTTTTCAAGTCACTTAATGTCTCAGTGCCCCCGGTAACTCTTTAAGACTACACACCTTGCAGAGAAGCTGCTGACCTCCATTGGTAGAAGGGATTTCCTCACCAGGGAGGTCCCTACACTGATGAAATCCCAGGTGTGGATCAAAAAGACAAAGCCAATCTTAGGGATGGGAGGGACCTTAGAGATCTGCTAGTCCAATCCCCCCATTTTATAGAGGAGTAAACTGAGCTTCAGATTGGGGAAGGGACTTGGTAATGATAAAAAAAAAAGTGGAAAGAGCATTGGACTCCAAACTGGGATTGGTACACACTAATTCCAGCTCTGCTAATTCCTGTGTGACCATAGGCTACTCACCACCCCTCTTGTCCTCAGTTTCCCCCACTATATAATAAGGTGGTTAGACTAAATTGTCCCAAAGGTACATTCCAGTTCTGATATTTCTCTGTTGGTTAGGAAGATCCTACCCCACTATACTTTTGGCCAAGGACCTTCATTTTCAGTGAGGGGGGGCAGAGAGAACCTCTGGTATCATTTAGTCAACAAACATTTATTAAGCTGCTATTATGTACCATTTGCTGTCCTTAAGTTATTAGGGATACAAAAGGGCAAAATATAGTCTCTGTGGCAGGCAGCCCCACCAGCGGCCACTGCAGTAGTGGGGAGAGCCTTGTGGCAGGCAGCCCCACCAGCAGCTACTGCAGTAGTGGGGAGAGCCTTGTGGCAGGCAGCCCCACCAGCAGCTACTGCAGTAGTCCAGGTGGGAGGTGATAAGAGCCCACAACAGGGTGGTGGCAGCATCAGAGAAGTGAAGGGGGGCATATAAGAGAAATGTTGAGAAAACAGAAATAAGATTTGACACTGATTGGATGTGGGGGTGTGAAAGTGAGGAGGGGAGGATGACAGATTGTGAGCCTGGGAACTTGAAGGATGCTGAATTCTCCCCATCTTACTGGGCACAAGTGAAAGAGTCTTAAACATATAGTCAAGACCCAGGAATTCTAGCCCCAACCCCACTATTCTTTCTCCAAATGAAGTCATTTACTTCCAGGCCTTGCTTTCCCCACCTGTAAAATGGGGCTCCAAACTTTTTATGGTAGCAAAAAGAAAAAAAGAACTAGATAGAAAGTGTATGCCCTTGATTGGAAAATAACTGAACAAATGATGATTTGTGAATGGGATAAGAAAGGTTGACCCTGAGGAATTCCCAGATGCTTGGGAACACTTGCACCAAGAAAGCAGACCAGGACAAGGATATACATACACAATCACTACAATAATGTAAATGAAAAACAACACTAAAAGCCAGCTGAACTCCAATGAAAAGAAACAGCCAATACAGCAGGAGACAATGGACAACAGAGGACTGAACTTGGCAATCCTGGGACATGAGTGTGAGGGACTTATCATTTCCCCCTTGCTGACCCTCAGTATCCCCATCTGTAAAACAGACCACCTTGTGAAACACACCTCCTTTGGGAACTCTGGTTGCTGAATGTTGCACAAACTCTCAGATAACAGTATCATTTAGCTTTGCTTGTCTATTTGTTTGTGAGAAAAACCCAAAGGGCTGGGACAGGGTGAGATTGGGAAATCTCTATGGTGTAAAAAAGAAAAAAAATTAGATGGAGTAGCAGCTGAGAACATTTGCAACCTGAACCCCTAAATTCAGAACATGTCAACTTTGAAATGCTACTTTTGAAAAAAAGAGACTCAGTACAAAGCACTCTCCAACTACATCATCCACTCCCAGCCCCACTCACTGACACTGTTCTTTCTTCCCAGAGGTTCAAGATGTAGCTATGGTTAAGCTTCATTGCTGGCCTCAGTCTATGACTAAATTCCATCCCATGGAGACCTGGGGGGTGTGTGTGTGTTGGGGGGAGGGATCCAAACATACCTTGGCTTTCCCCAAATCATTAGTCACAAAACCTGGGAAAGTGTAAAGCCCTGAACCCCTCTATAGCAAATATCTTTCCCTTCCTTCCTCCCACTCCCATGGATTTGGATTCAGAGAACCTGGGTTTGAATCGACCTTCTGCCATTTACTAGCTCTGTGACCTTGGGCAGGACCTCCTCTGTTAAATGAGGGAGTTGAATTAGATGGTCTCTGAGAGCTCTAGAACCAAGGAATCAGAACTGGGTGTTCCTGGATCGAGGAAGGCCAAGGCTAACTGAAATCTGGGGCCTGGGGCTAGAAGAGTGACCATTCTCACTTACACAGACAGAGCTTTAAGCTTTAAACTTTAAGGAGAGTACTTTTCTGGAGATAACTCTACGATGTAGGTAGGGAGTACAAGGTTTACTGTCCCCAATTTGCAAATTGGGAAACCGAGGCTTCTGAAAGGTCAGGTGAGATGCTTATGGAGGATAGAGCACTGAACCTGGACTCAGACCTGATTTCAAATCCTGCCTCAGATACTTATTAGCTGTGTGAACTCTCAGCCTGAATTTCCTCAGCTGTAAAATATGATAATAATAACACCTATTTCACAGGGTTTTTGTGAGGATCAAATTAGACCATATCTACCAAACACTTGGTAAGCTTTAGGTCTGTAAAGCAGATATTAGTTTTCACCATTGCATGTGAGTGTCAAAGATGAGATTCGATCTAGTACACCTTTCTTAGACTCTCTGAAGCCTCCTACCCGTTCCCTGTAAGGGAGCAGGACGCCATGGTCCCTTGTTCCTTCTTCCCTTCTTAATCTCTGCCTCTTCCCTGTAGCCCACTGGTCAGCATGCCCACCTCCCAGAAGCCACCATCCCTGCTCAGCTTTCCCTTTTGACCAGAACAGGCCCTCGGGCCAATCTGTGCTGAATGGGCCTGAGACTAAATTCCTCTCCTCCCTCCCACTGTGTGTGTGTGTGTGTGTGTGTATACATTCTGCAGGGAGAGTGGTGGAAGGGGATAGGCCAACAAAGGAGGGGACCCTACGATAGGAAAAAGGAAAAGGGATGAGGGGATCCCCTCCCCACACTCTGGCTAGAGAGCATTGCCAATAACCTGAACACTCTCTGCAGATCCTTCCCTCCCTCTCCAGTTCAGCCCCAGCTCTTTTCTCAAAACACATTGTGATGGGCTACCCAAGGGTTACAGCCTCTTCCCTGGGTGAGCAAGTAGGATTTTCCTCTCCCTAGTTCTCTCCTTCCCTAGTCAGTCTCCCACTCGTAAGTCAGCAGCCCCACTTTGCACCGAGCCTTTCCATCCTATTCATTTTTGACCAGAG